TTCTATGCATTTTGTGAAACTTATTCAAAAGAATTGGAATCAGGATCAGGCAGAATTGAAATCAAAATCAGAGAAATTTTAGAATCTCCCATCACTAATTTTTAAATATATATTCCAACTTTTTTTGCAAATAATTACTGTATATCTGCGCAGATAAGATGATAGTTGAATCATAAAAAAGACCTCCAAAATCCAGGGTCATCTTATAGGACAGATACAAAAAAAAAAATTTGATTGAAATTTATATAAATTAAAACCATTATAAAAAAACTGACAAATTGTAATTATTTACTGGTAGAGAGTAGGGTATGTCCACAAAATAGAATAACCCATATGACATTTTCATGAATAGTCAAGGTCATTACCCAAATGACCGAATCAGTGTGAATGTTTGCAACAATCGCAAGACAGTGCTGCCAGGTGCAAGAAAATAAAATTCGAAGTTCTTTCAAAAAATTACAAATAGGACATAATTCTGTATATACTATACTGTGTTATTATCCAGATGATGATCGCTGATCTAAACTAAATTCATAGGCCATTAATAGTTTGGGGGTCATCTTATAGGACAGGTATATGCTAAAACTATAAAACTTTGACGAAAATTTATACCTCATCTTATTTGAAGGTCATCTTATCTCCACAGATATATGGTATATGCTTAATATTTAATTTTTTTTAATATACTATTATGACACTTTTAATTACAAAATATTTTTTGTGTATTACATACATTGCATTAAAATTTTGAATACATCTGGTATTTTAACTCCTCTTTGGACATGTAGAGTATTGCGACATCACTTGGTTCATGTGTATCTGTGGGATACATAATGAAATTAAAACAATTTTTATATTTTTACATATATATATATGTTATATAATCATAGTCGTTTGACTATGATTATATCTGATTTCTACACTTTCTCTACTATCTAACAGCATAAAATACTTGTGGATTTTAAAAGATGAGATTTTTATTTATATTTTCTGTAATTTTATCTGTAAATGCAAAAAAACTAAACTTATCAAATTTCAACTCAGTATAAATGATTTCAACTTTCACTTATTGAGATAGATTTATTAAATTTCATAGGATTGTTCTTCCAACTTCAGGATATTAAAGCTTTGTTTATTTTCTCCTGTGAAAGTAATAGACTTTGCTGGTCTCCCACTGTGAAGGACAACAAACTTCTAATTGTTTTATTACTTTGTTTTCAAAAACTCCCTTTTCTGTCAGTAGTGAGTCAAAGACTAACAAATTGTTTTCTTGCACTCAGAGGAATGTTTTCTTTTAAATTTAACAACTAATATTGCCAGTAATGAATTCTATAATTTTGTTTTTAATAATTTAAAAAATATTGTTAAAATTACCAAATAAATGTTTGAGACACAATTACTAAACAGTATTGCTATGTAATGAACATAAATTTTAATTGTTGCAAAATTGAAAGTATTAAATCTCTTATCATGCTCTGATCACGAGAAAGCAGGACAATAACACCAAAGCAAGAAAATCATGTCAAAAATAGCTGTAATGGTGTATTTAAAATGAATTGAGATTGATCCGGTCATTGAAACCAAGAGAAAAAGATAGAATGTGTAACATTGTGGTAAAGTTTAAATATTATATTTTTATTGAATTGCGATTGTTATGAGCAACAATCAAGAGTACAGTATCCTCACGCTGCAAGAGAATTTACTATAGAGGGTATTAAGATATTGTTTTTCATAAAATTTTTCTGAAAAAACGGTCATATACTTGAAAACCACTGTAGGAATCACTTCAGAACATATCAGTTGAGGAATACTACAAAGCCTGCAGTTCAACTGTTATTTATTTTTTAAAAATTCAACAAAAAAAACATCTGCTGGATACATATGCCCTAGAATGTGAGTTAAAACATGAAACTTTATCATAACAATTATTTAGATGTTATAGAAAATTTAGAGAATGCAATTTAAACATAATATGAGCAATACTATTTTTAAAATAAAAATATTCTAAATAAAGTATAAAATTTGATGATATTTATAAAATGATATGTGCCATATGTATTAATATAATTGTTAAGAAGAGAAAATGATAGTGGAGCATGGAATGTATAAAATATTTAATAAAAGAGAAGAAAAAATATTCAGCATGAAATATTTAATAAAAGAGAAGAAAAAAATAAATGATGCATTTAATATACAAGTCGACCCCCTATAACACTGTTGATAATTCTGTTTTATATGAATTCCATGTTGTACAAGTCACTTAGATTTTATAAATACATGTGACGGGCTGTGAACGGCTCACGTATTTGTAAAATCTAAGTGACTCGTACAACATGGAATTCATATAAAACGGAATTATCAACAGTGTTATAGGGGGTCGACTTGTATTAGGTTGAGTAATAAGTTTGCATTTTTCCTGTTCATTTTAGACATTTTATTTAATTTAATATTGTATCACTAGTTGCCATCTTTCTACCAATTCCTCTTCTGTAAATATCTAAACAAATAATAATCTGAGGGTGTTAAATTTGGAGATGTGATGATGAAGTAAAACTTTCCACTGCAACTCTCTTATTTTTTCTAGTATCACTTTGGCAACATATAGTCTGATGCAGTTTAATGCCCTTGCAGTTTACTAGTGCCAGTCTTTTGTTCTTTAATGCTTAGCTTAAACAGTCTAATTGTTCACTATAAATGTTGGCATTTATGGTTTGATTCAGATCTAGTAGTTCATAATACACTATTCCCTTTACATCATACCATATGCACAACATTACTTTTTTTGAGTGCAGTCCACTTTTTGGTATGGATGTTGTGGGCTTTGCTGGATTTAGCCACATTGTTTCCATTGAATATTAGTGTATAATATCCACTTTCATCTCCAGTAATTACTCAATCTAAAAATGGAGCTTTCTTTTGATGATCAAATAATAATCCAGCAATACTTAATCATTGTGCGAGATCAGTTTCTGTTAATTTGCATGGAACCCACACATCTAACTGAGGAACTTTTCCAATCTTTGGTTGCATATGCTTTTTTGGCTTACATTTAGTCATAGCCAATTCTCTCATGGTAGTTCATGGATCGGCTTCAATTAGAGCATTTACATCTTCACTAGTAACCATGATCAGCCAACCAGATCACTCATCATCTTTCAAGATAAAATCTCATTTCGAAACTTAGTGAGTCAAAACTGAGCTTTTCTCACCTTTAAAGTGTCAGTGCCATAAACTTCACAAATTTCTGATGTTATGTTAGTTGCATTTAAACCTTTTCGGAAAGAAAACAAGCAAAACATGCTTCAGATAGATGTCTGCTTATATTTCAGAGAACTAAAATGTTCACAAAATAAAACTAAAACTATTTAAATCAGTTTAACAGAATGGTAACATGCCCCCACACTTACTCCAAAAGTCACACTCCTCTGTGAAAATTGACTGCTATTGTAAAAATGTTTAATTGGGCAATAAAAAAATGCAATGAATTATTACTCAACCCAATATTTTTACTAAAATTAAAATTTTTTTCCAATCACCTGAATTATGATTATATCATTTCTGATATACTTATGATTTATGTTAATTTTATTGATGTTGATTACCAATTTTTTATTCAAAACTTCTGAAAGATCGATAATTGTAAATATACATATTTTTAATTTATTGCATTTTTTTTTGTTTTATATATGAATAAGTTAAATACATTTCTTTACAGGTAAAACAAATAAAACAAACTGAATATTCTTACCTACAAATATGTTTTTAAGCTATTAAAAATAACATCATTTGGAATTTTTTAAAATATATTAAAAGCTTGCTGTATTTCATACTTTTTCTTTATTATATATAATATAATATATATTTTTTTAATATGAAAATGGTTATTCTCTTTTCTTTAATATCAAAGTTGCTAGGGATAATTTAGAAGTCTTAAGAATGAATCCAAGTAAATGTGGCATGTTTTAGTAGGAATTTGATTTTTTGAAGAAATAACCAGAAAACCAATAATAATGATTCTTAAAAGGAATTCATGTTTTTGAGAGAAAAAGTGCAATGAAATCTAAATGGCAGTAGAAATCAATTTGGTTTTCAATTTTTACAAAATCAATTCTGGTAAAAAATTTGGTTTATAGATTTAACATATTATATATAATCCTTATAAGTTGAGTTTTTAGAGCCAAATTTTAATACCAGTTTTATTTTCCCAGCTGATATATAACAGAGGGTGATGGTCAAAATTATGGTGATTGGTCAAAAAATAACCTCTCCAAGATTTTTACATTTTTTGACTTGGTCTTGAAATGCCATGAAATGCAAACAAATTGGGGGTTTTTTCTGTATGTATGGATGTTTGTGTGGGGGGCATGATTTTGTTCACCCTCTTAGAAGCTTAATAATGCCTGTGCTTTTTGTCAAAAATTTCTGAAATTTTGCAGGGAGGTTTGTTTATTAGGGGACTATTAAATTTTGGTGACTAAAGGCTAATAAAGGGGGTTGTTGTCATATCTCCAGTAGGGGCCAGACTTAATAACAATTTTCCTTATAATTAGCATTTACAATTTTTTATAGAACCTATCCCTACCCTCAAGATTAAGCTTTTTGCTGTTTTTAATAAAATATAACAGATGGTGCTACCAAAGTTTTAAATGTTGCCAGGAAAGTTGAACAACTTGTTACTGGTTTATTTTATGTACTAACAACAAAGAGCAAAATATAAGAAACATTTGAATGTAATTTTTTAAATCATTTTTAATATTAATGATTAACTTTGTTTTTTACTTTGTACTAACATTTGAAATGTTCCTAATATTGATATTTCTTTCAGTAAATTACTGTACTTCTTTGTTATATCATGAATAATTTTGAAATTATTTAAATTACTCAATAGAAATTTTTAATTGTGAAAAAAATTGACATTAATTGTGTAATAATTGAAATATCTAAATAAATAGTATATTTATGAAAAAAGAACTATTCAAGAGCTTTTAATTTAACATTAGTAGTGAAATAGATGAAGAAGAGTGGAAAGAAGAGGATGAAGAAGAGGAGGAGGAGGAAGGGGGAGAAGAGGAAGAAGACGACGATGATGATGAAGAGGATGATGAAATTGAAGAAGGAGATTTATTTCCTATCGGTGAAAAGGAAGAGGTTTGGTTTTAATTGATATTGATATATAATATATTAACCTGCAATTGTATGTGGTTGCAATAATTTTTTACACATGCTATTTTTACATGGTCATTTTTCACCAAATTGACTTACAACTACTTTTGATAAGTTTGCCATATTGCAAAAAAATCATTTTATTACATTTCTTTGAACAAATTTAGAAATTAATAACAAATTGTGAACACATTTCATTCTAAAATATGAAAGAGCAATATTAAAAAATATAATAAAAGTATTAATGACACTAATTAATATGACAACTATACTTGTTTTAGTTTGCACGGTTTCTCAAAATTAGTACCACTGAAGACCAATAAAGGTGTCAGTTTGGTTCAGCATTGAGTTTATTTCTATCTTTGGTTTATTTTGAATCACCCAGACATAAACTTGCTTTAAAGTAATAAAATTACTAATGTAAAATTACATTTGGCAGTCTTTACAAATTTTTTTTCACATTAAAAACTTCATTGATTATATAGACTCTTTTTATTATACAGTAGAACCTCGAAAACTCGACCTAATGTGGACCGAAGGGTGGCCGAGTTTGTGAAAATGCCGAGTTATCGGGAATGGGGTTAAAAAAAATAAGTACGAGTATTTCCTCAGAAAATACTGTACTGTACTTGTACAGTATTTACTTGTACAGAATATAACAGAGAATAAACTGCCCAAATACCCTTAAACAAAGGAAAAGTACGTCCTTTATGAAGGCATAGTCTTTACTACATGAAAATGAAAATTAATGAATACACTGTGTACAGNATTTAAGTGTTGGCAAAACGGTTTAAAATATGAACAAAATTATATTTTAATTGAAAAATTATTATATAAAATCATTTTTGATATTTAGTATCTTTACTTATAATGATAAAATGTTTGTACAATACCTTTTTCAACTTGGACAGATACTTTTTTCAGCAACACATTACTTTCTTAAAATGAATATTTGACCCCTTTTCATACATCTTCATCAAGTTTAACAAGAAGATTCAAACTAAGACAGTTTGAATATTTTTGTTAAACCTGATGCAAACCTATGGAAAAGCATCAAAAATGTTCGTTTAAAGAAATTAAAGTGTTGTTGAAAAAAATTCTTTAATGTGTTGTTTAAACCAAATTAGCTAAATGTTTTTGTTGTACTATATTTGCACACAATTCACGACTCACTTCGATATTAATTTACCTACAATCTGGATTGTAACTGTCGCCAGATGAACGTCCAGCTGTTCGTACAGGCCTTGAGTCATAGCCACGTCTTGAGAAGAACCTGACTATGACATGCGATGATAAAACTGACATAACTATGTGGTAAGTCACCAACACCAACAAACAAAATGGAAGCTTTGGTTAGAAATAAATACTTTTTCTTGCCATATATCTAATAATAGATAGATGTCATTGTCTCTCCAGATGTCTTTTTTATTTCCCTGTTGATAGCCTGACACGTGTTCCACAGCCATCTTGTATTTTCTCGCACGTGTGGGATTGTGGTATCTCTCTTATGACTGGATCTAGTTTCTAGAACTCTCTTGAGTCTATCACGATTGAACCTTGTTTCGGTTGAGATTGAAACAGTCGAGAGGTCTTATTACGGCATGGTCGCCGACCTTGGTCACAATCTAGATCAGGGGTGTCCAACCTTTTTGTTTCTCTGGGCCACATTGGAAGAAGTCATGGAGTTTTGGGCCAAAGTATATTTTGGCCCAAACATATCTAGGATTAACATGTCTAGATTATAGTAATAAGTATTAAAAGTTCACCACAAAAATGAATATTTTTACAAATTACTTCTACAAACACTTTCAATTTTTATTTAGAAATAGATAAATTCATTTATTATAAAGGAGACAAACAAAAATTTATTTGAAAAACACAAATATTTGTTTTATTTGGGTCTCTAATTAATAAAAAA